CAGAAGAGTAGTTGGCGAGCCTACGTAGGCTTTCTATAAATGCACATTACTCCATTGCATTTATATTGGAAGGGGATATAAGTTGAACAAGCTATCAGGAATGTTCGTCTTTTCATACAAGCGAGTCGTTGGGATCGGTGGAAGGGGTAAATAAGAGAAAGAAGGCTACGTGGGCAGGGTTTGTTGGAGCCACTCTAGGGGAGGGAGGAGGGGAGAGAGACAAAGCGAGCGCGGACGAGTGCATGCAGTTAAGTAACTGTGGACCATGCCAGAGGCGGAGCTTGCAGGAGGTTCTTTTGTGCACACAACGCCGGCTTCCTCAACCAGATAGCGGTCGCTTCCGCTGTTGTTAGCAGGCGCTGACCCAGGGCCTTAAGATATTTTGGTGGGACCTAATAAGTCACCTTGACGGCTTCGTTGGGGGTCCATAGGAGGTCCAGAATCAGTCATATGGGCGAGAATGGCGCTGGCCCGATGAGATCTTATCGAAAGCCTACGTATGCTCGTCATCTACTCTTCTGAAACATTTTATTCCCAAAGCTATTTGACCTTCCTCCAGACATAAGTACTAGCTAAAAGCCTAAACGCGTGTCTCGCCAATGCTTCTGCTACTGCTGCTGCTGCCGCCTGACGCAACGGCTCAGCGCGTCTCCTAGCATTCTCTATGCGGTTTCTGGTACCTGAACTCCAGCAGAAACATTGGTGAAACACGTACCTGGGCTTTTAGCTAGTACCTATATCAGAAGTACGATATAATACCTTTGCCGTATAAAATGCATACTACTTGTAGTAGTTCTTGTCTATAGAATTGGTATTACATGATTAGGTTCAGTTCAGTTTATTTGAGGGGAATGTAGGTGTATACCTTTGAACGCCCTATTTGGTTACGTGCGTGTTTTGATCTAAAAAGTAGTACTTCAGCTTATTGGCGATGCCAAATGACACGAGCCAATGAGGTGGAACAAAGGAAAAAAGAACAGACAGTGAAAACAACTCTTTGGAATTTTTCGAAGAGAACCAGCTGTCCTCCATGGGAGAGAAGTAGGCTGGGTCGAAATCGGTGGATCACAGAGGTCATGGAGATCATCACGTAAATGTAGAAGGTGCGGCCAGACACTCCCTTGCTGATTGCAGAGTCCGCAGACAAAGTTCCGAAGTACCCGCCACAACCGTCGGCAGTCCATTGTGGGTCGAACCAAGGGAGAACGCATAGGAGCCGCGTAAACAATGGTCACTACACTTCAACTGGTTTGCATTACGTATCAATAGCGGAAATGTTACTCCTACTGTTATTCCTCACTAGACGGTATGGGGAGCCGATTTCGTCATATCCAGGGTATCGGGCTTGACTTACTCTTAGCGTGGGATCGCATAATCGATTGCTTTCTACTCCCCCGCAATTTGCATATAAGGCTAGGTGTAGCCCGCTAGACGCTGTTGCTCTAATAGTCCATTCTGCTCTAAGATATTTAAATAAGAGCTGTCGTGCATACGCATGTGCTTTTCTTGACTACTCCTCAGCCTTTAATATGATCCCGCGTCATCTTATTCTTAATAAAACTTCTGCAAGCGACTCTCCCGGCTGGGCTGTCTCTTGGCTTAGGAACTATTTCCCTTCCCGCACTTAATTCGTTCACTGCGGCAAGCGAAAATCCATGGTCCTTCCCAGCAACTGTGGAGTTCTCCAAGGGTCTATATTACCCCCTCACCGTTTCTTCCTCCACAGTGACAACCTACGATCGCCAAATGAATGGTTGTACGTCAAATATGCTGATG